ATGCTTTAAAATGATACAAAATGCAAAGATTTAAAAAAAATGCTGTAACAAGAACATCTGTAATTGTCTTGCATAAAAATGATATCACTACAATTAATGAAACAAGTAAAGACAACATAGCTTGTACCACTTATGTTTATTTTGTGCAAAAACTTTCGCCATTTCAGCCTTCCATATGGGCTTTGTAGGTTTCAAGTGCCATCACATTTTCCTCTCTTAACAACAAGTACAACAGGTAAATGTATAACAACAATGCATTTATACCGCAGTCACACCGACGTAACCGACACCAGACCATCTACAGACCGACTACAAACCGAACAAAAATTACGTTACTCCGAATGGCCCCGAATAGGTCTGTTTGTAGTCGGTATTGCGATGTGACTGAGGACTTAGGCTTAGGGATGTAAGTTAAAACCAGTGGCATAGCCCCCCTCCCCCCCCCCCGCCCCTCTTCCTGGTCAAACTTTGCTTGATACGTCATGGCTGAGAGTGGGAGAAATATTTTCTTTCGTTTATCAGATTTTTGAGCTAGATATTCATTCCTCTGAAAATGTGATAAGCCCACTTTTTTGCTTTTATGAAGTCACTCCTTGTGGATCCGCCAATTTATAATGTAGGAAATGTCAGAGTATCATATACATTTTAGGAATGCCCTCGGAAATAATTGGATTGCAAACATAAATAAACTATAAGAATATTTTTTTTTTTGGTGAAAAATATAAGTTTGGTAGAGCGATGAAAATAATGAGACTTTTTCCATGATTACCTAATACCTTGTGATAAAAAAAACCTCCCAGTTGTTGTACTGGGTGGAATTATGTGAACATCGTTTCACAAACAACGGTTATACACACAATATTAATTCTACAAAACCTGAATTCAAGTCCTGACCATTCGTATCCCGACCATACTGTCAGGCGCATGTACACATGGCTAAATACTTTGCCACACTGAATTAACGTTAATCAATTTTGTTCTAGCTTTGTCCAGACTTAAGTTAATACTTTTCTTCTAAGATTAGATTATTTTGAGAGATTTATATTTTAAAAGTAAAAGTTAGAACGCCTATAAGAAATAGGTAGTTAATTGTAATAACCTGCTTGTTTTTTTTTTTAATTTAAATTTGTTGAAGATCATAAAAGAAAAGTTGATGAAAATGATATGATCTGATTGCCATGGTAACCTTTTAAATTTAATTCTGTAAAATGTTCAAATTCACGGACGGACAAGATTTTAACAATATTAACCGACTGAATGCTCACCAACGAACGATACAAGATAAGAACGGTTACAGACATGTACGTACTGCAAATATTGCAAAGATAGATGAGTGCTACAGTGTAAGTAGGGAGCATGCATGTTTGTCGCACGATTTAGTTTTAAGCCGTTAATGGCGTCATGCAAATTGAATCAATTTGCAATACAAAGAAACTGCTACGAATGTAAATAGCGTCTATAATCAATGTATATTCGTTTCTGGGGCGTGGATTCCATATCCAGAGGCATTGGCGTACGCAGGATTTTTTCAAGGGGAGGGGGGGGGGGGGGAGTTAACATTTTGAAATCGGGCCGGGGGGGGGGGGGGTCTCGAAATTTGAAAAATTTACATTTTTCTTCGTTGGGGGGGGGGGGGGGGTAAGGTCACCTGTTTTAGGTCAGCTATTGGCATAATTGTTATTATTATTATTTTTATTTTTTATTTTTTAATAACAAAAACAAAAAATAAAAAACAAAAACAAAGGGGGGGGGGGTGGGGGTTTTCCTCAAAAATGCACACATAAAAATTACCAAATTACCAGGGGGGTGGTTAACCCCCCTCCCCCTTCCCTGCGTACGCGCCTGTCCAGAGGCATACGACCTATATATGATCCTGTTTAGCTTAAAAAAACTCGGAGCCCCAGCCCGAATCGCCAATTATTATTATTACTTTATATACAGTGCGACCCAGAAAAAACGAAACCGAGAATTATCCATGTTTTATCATTACTTAATCACAATTATAATGAATAAAGTCATTTGGCGCGTGGTATCTGAATTTCGAAGAATAATTCACATTTCTAGAAAGTTCATTTTCTGGTCTTTCATATGACACCTGAATCAGGAAAAATGAGCAAGGAATAACAAAGTTCTGTTTTTTTAATTTCCATGATTTGATTAAATGAATTCGTTTTCACTGGCTGCCTGCCGTAGCAACAAGCAGAATTGACAAAAGACTTAACTACGTTTCGTTGACGATCAGACATAGACGAAAGACTTCATGCATGGCTGATTTTCAATGAAACGGAGTTAAGTCTTTTGTCAATTCTGCTTGTTGCTACGGCAGGCAGCCAGTGAAAATGAACTTTTAAAATCAAATTATGGAAATGCAAGCATCACTTTAAACAAACATAACTTTGTTATTCCTTGCTCATTTTTCCTGATTGAGGTGTCATATTATGAAAGGGCAAAAAATAAACTTTCTAGGAATGTGAATTTTTCTTCGAAATTGAAATACCGCCTGCCAAATGACTTTTTGGTTTCCTGCTTTCAAATTGCTTCTAATCACTCATGCGCGAAATATGCATCATATGAGTTGCATCAAATGAAAAAGGAGGATCTAAGCTTTACAAATATGTGTCATTTATTAATTATAATTGTGATTAAGTTATGATAAAACATCGATAATTCTCGGTTTCGTTTTTTTCTGGGTCACACTGTATATATATATATATATATATATATATATATATAATGTAAAAATAAATGGTTCTGCGTCGGTGCATAAAATTGCATCAAATGATTGCATAAAATTGCATAAAATTGCATCAAATACCTTGTGTCCTATATATATATATATAAATATATATATATATAAATATAGATATAGGAGTTGGAAGGTTACACTTTATTGGTACGAGTTATACAGACTGTTTCGCCAGAAGGTTCATCAGTAACTAAATACATAATACAATCATGGCGAAGTTAAAAACACTCATGTGCAGTCAGGCAAGAATACAAAAGAGACACAAATAATACCCAAGTAAGGGCGAACGCAATAATACAATAGTGGAATTAAGTGGTTTAAGGGTAAGGGGAAAGGTCATGGTGGTACGGGGGGGAGGGGTTTAACCATATTCAGAGAGTAGAAACTTTCTCTTATGTCTCCACATGTAAACATAAGAGAAAGTTTCTACTCTCTGAATATGGTTAAACCCCTCCCCCCCCCCCCGTACCACCATGACCTTTCCCCTTACCCTTAAACCACTTAATTCCACTATTGTATTATTGCGGTCGCCCTTACTTGGGTATTATTTGTGTCTCTTTTGTATTCTTGCCTGACTGCACATGAGTGTTTTTAACTTCGCCATGATTGTATTATGTATTTAGTTACTGATGAACCTTCTGGCGAAACAGTCTGTATAACTCGTACCAATAAAGTGTAACCTTCCAACTCCTATATCTACATTTGCTCCTACAGTTGAGCACTGTCAGAAATTGCAGTTTCACTAAACTTGCTTATATATATATATATTTTTTTTTTTTGGGGGGGGGGGGGGGGGGGGGGGGGGTGACATTCCCATTCAAATTTCTGTCAATAATTACCAATTAATTTTCCACTCCATATAATCATCGGCAAATTAAACATATGCCTATCGATAATTCGCTTACCTTGCTGGTAAATTTAAAGATATGACAATTTGGGGAGGCGTATTTGACATTTTGATCCTAACACTTCCCCCCATTCAAAATGGACCATGAACATGCATTCATGATGGCCCTACTTTTTAATGAGAAAGTCCACCCTAATCACTATCTGGTATTGATAACAGCAGAAAATGAGAAAAAACAAATTGGTGCAAGTTTAGATCAAAAGTTGTCATCAGTGAAACACAAATTGGTAACACTGTGACGAATCTTGCGAGGTCCTCTCAGATTTTCTTTGCATAGAAATGTCATAAATTGTCATTTTCCTGGTTGGGGGGAAATGACGGAAAAGGTTTGTTTCATACTGGGGTTGTATAGAAACGTATTTGCAATCATCATATTTAGGGTGCATGTATGATTGTACATTCTGTTTCTGAATTTATTTTAGTACAGGGCGAATGGGAGGGAACCTCACAAGATAAGTCGAAGAGTTGTCATTTTGTGTTTGTTTGATCGCAACATCAAACATTCATAAATGTCTTATTTTCAATCGGATTTAGCTCAAACTAACCTTAAAACCAACTTAATAGCAGGTTGGTCTTTTCCTTTAAATTGTAATTACAGTCGATTGTGTGATGTGGGGAGGCAGATCTTCCTCATAACGAAGAAAAACAGTTAAACTATCTCGAATAATTTATATATCAAACAAGTGCTTATATAGAAATGACCAGTTGCGTAGACATGATTAGTGAATACATAGTTGTATTCATTAAATCCCCCGTACGAAGAGATGTCTTCACGAACGGAATTAACCACCCCTTCATTCATCTCATAATAAGTAAATTTATTTATTCTTGTCACGAAATTGCCATTTATAGATCCACTACGTAACTTAATTTCATTTCATCGTTAGCTGATGGGTGAAAATTGATAAGTTTTGCAAACATTTCATTTCATGAAATACAACTCTATCGTAATGCCAACGAATTTTAACCGGTTGAACATGCATGGTGCTACCAAAGCATTTTATTTTACAATTAGTTTGTTAGCACTTGAAGTAAAATATGTGTCAATCTGATGGCGGTTATGTACCGAAAATGGAAATGATGGCCACGAGTGTCACTGATAGGACTTAAAACACAATTGATAACTTAATTCTAATAAATCGTGCAATCATCATCCATTATAACAAATATTTTTGTGATTATACATCAGTAGAGATTTCGTATAAATGATGACAATACCGTTAATGGACGAAAATCAAGCGGTGTCAATGCCTTCAAAGTAATTTATAGTACATGATTGTATACCACTGAATACTATACGTAATTGACATTAGTAAAGTGTGCAGACATAATGTCACAGAGTTCCTCTCATGAAACGACAGGTCCAACTCTCACGATGGGTCGACGACAGCGTTGTTGACATCCACCAAAGTTAATCATGTACCTCCTCAAGGTCGGGTTAGTAAGGCCATAGAGGATGGGATTGAGTGCAGAGTTACCCCACAGTAGACCATTGACAACCTCCCATGTAGTCTCTGAGAAGCATTCATCATCACCACACATCGCCTGTAGGATGCTGACGATCTCGAATGGCAGCCAGCAGACAAGGAACGTTCCCACCAGGATGGACAGGGTCAAAGCTGCTTTCTTGTGACGGGTGAATACACGCTTATGTTGCTGATATGTCGTCACGCGTTGCTTTCCGGGATTAGGCACATTCTGAACTTGGGAGGTTGAAGGATTGTTCACACCAGGGATGAGAAAGGAACGCAATGATCGATTCTTGCGGCTGGACATGACTGCTAGCACAGGTTCTGCCCATCGATCCGTGTTCACATTCGAGACAGAAGGAAGATCAGAAGGATCTGCTTCATGTGACATACTACGCACCTCAAGGTGCGTCTGACTCTCATTACCATTGCGTGGCTCCGTTGAAGGCAAACCGAGATTGGTCTTGAACCTTCGGAGATTCTTTGATCGTTGATGAATTTGATAATACACTGATACATTCAGCCACACGATGATCGGCAATGGAATCCCAAATTCGAAGATCAGAGTACCGATTGTGAAAGGCAAAAGATACACAATTTCCAGTTCGCATTCGTCTTGGAAATCGACAAGGTCTGCACCGCTCATCGCGAATGCGGCACAGAAATAGATAGCGATGCTACATGACCAAGACACCAAGATGATGATGGTAACTCTCTTACGAGTCCAAACAGTACGATACCGTGTTTTCTGAGACATCAGTAAAAACCGATCGAGACTTATCAGCATGATTATCACTGTGGACATGTAGGTTGCAGAGTAATCCAAAGTTGACCACAACCTGCAAACGACCTCACCAAACATCCAGGAGTCTTCGGCTACCCAATGCAGGTTGATGGTCAATACCAAGGTACCTATCAGAAAGTCCGATATTGACAGACTGAAGATGAGTGTATTGGTAGGGATGGCACGTACCTGAGAATGGCGGCAGTAAGCTAAGATCACCAACAAGTTGCCAATGATAGTGACGATAATAACCAGGCTATAGCCCAAGATTAATGGTACTCGTCTAAGCCCTCCTTCGGATTCAGAATCATCCTGTTGGATAGTAGTTTGATCATAGTTCACATCAAATGATTGGTTTATTTTGCTGACTATATCTATACTTTCCGTTGAGATCCCGGCCATGCTCTCATTTATGATCATTATACTGCTTGTGGCATTCATTTTGTCAAAATTAGAAAAGGATGAATTCAGTTTAGCGCGGGTGGTGCAAGAATCAATTAAACAATGCAAAAATATGAAATCGATACACCCTGCTTGATTTGTTATCTAAAATGTATACATTACTTGGTTGTCCATAAGTTATCATCACACAATAAGTCTTGATATCTTCTACGAATCCACTCACTCCTGATTGATTATTGAGTCCTTGCTTTCAGTTCTGGTTTGGTATAGCTAGACGCGTAATGAATCCAGACTTGTTCACACACCATAACATCAGAAACGGTAATGACCTTAATATTAAGCAGTTGGCATCCCAGCCTCGATGAAAATGCTAGACGAAATAAGAATTACTCTAAAGAGTATCTGTTGTTCGCAGGCAGCTTCAACCAGCAACATGAAGATCTTTGATCGGTTTCATTTTAAAATGTCTTCAATATTTTATTCAAACAGGTAGATACTGGACACGATTTTAAATTGAATTAGAGCGAGGTACTTTTCAGAGATGTCGGTCAGTGATGAATGGATGACCCAAATGGACTGCCAGACCAGACAGGTAGTAAGTTGGACATCGAGGGAGTATAATCAGCGATGATGGTGGAACCATGTTCGCGCCATCGTGGAAATAAGTCGAATGCGGTGTGTTTGCTGACAATATTCATAACGGGCCTAATCACACTCTTCCCAGGTGATACGTCGTGTGCAAAACAATCGTAGCCGCCTACTCCGACAAAAAAGAGGTTGATGTATCAGAATATAGCTCCATTTACTTAACGCTGTCTGTCCTTGGTGGTTTTTCCGCGCTCACTTACGTAAAAATAATGCGCTGAAAGCAGATCAAAGCTCAACAATAGCCGACTCGATGCAATTCAATTCAATTTTATTTCATTCAGTTAAAATTACAGCATTACATTTAACAATCAGATATATAACATAAAATATACATATTGGACAAGGTCTAAACATGAATGTCAAGAAAACTAATTTAATGATTTTTAGTAGAACAAAGAATAAGCCTATATGTTTGAAACTCGATGGACATATCATTTAACAAGTCAGTAGGACAAAATATCACAGACGATACCAGATGCGAAGCAGAAATAAAAAGAAGAATAGAAATTGCTCGGAATACATTTCTGGCAATGAAAGGATTATTCACAAATAGAAAGGTGAAATTTGCGCTTAGGTTGAGACTAGTAAACTGTTATGTATGATCTGTCCTATTGTATGGAGCAGAAACATGGACAATAAGCAAGGCCATGGAAAACAGAATAACATCTTTTGAAATGTGGATTTACAGAAGAATGATGAACATATCCTGGAAACGAATGAAAACCAACAAAGAGATATTGCAAATGGCAGGGCGTAAACAAATTGCACTTTTGACTAGAAGGATTAGTTAAGGAGAGAAAAATCAAATACTTTGGTCATGTTAAAAGGCACCAAAACCTCTTAAAGGATGTGTTGGAAGGAAGATGAAAGGAAGGAAGTAGACCGAGAGGGAGACCCAGAATCAACTGGCCGGGAAGAGAACATCAAGAACTGGAGTGGACTAAAACTGCAAGAGTGCACCAGAATGGCAATAGATAGAGTGGTATGGAGAGATGTTGCAATAAACCTATAGATGTGCAAGATACTTAGATAGATAGATAGGCTTGATGACTCATTGCGGGCATGTCCGATTTGATAATTTCATAATAAGGAATAATGAAATAGTCAAAAACGTACTGGGATTATCAAGTGCATATTATTTTTCGGATAATTGTCTTTTTTTGTTCCAATTAATATCCTAGTTTGCCTTTTTAAAGACATTTTAAAGCCTAAATCACCCTCCTTTCACCGCGGAGAGGCTCCTGCAGTGACGTCATAATATGCTATTGCGCAATACGGCTCCGAAACTAGGCCTTTTTTCTGAGCGTTCTGAGTCGACATTTTTAAAGATATATTCCAGAATTATTGATGATTACTAAGAAAAATCATTGTCATGTTCGGAATCTCCATCAAAAACCATTCTACATGTCAGTTTGTAAAGAAAATGTAGAAAACTTAAATTAATTGAATAGAATTTCCAGCACATGATATATCCTCAAGGTAGCTAATCCCATTTGATCCATTCCTCTCACTTAATGGGAGTGCTGAATAGTGACATTTAATTCGTGAGCTACTTTATTTTGTTTGATATTTATGTTGACAGGTGGAGAAAAAATAGGGGGCAATTGTGTAGGATAAGGCTCTTGTATAATTACATGGGGGCAGTATCACTTTGTTAATGAATTTGGCTACTGATTAGGAGAAGAGAGCCTGTCAGTTTGTTCTCCTCCTTACCCCCTCCTCATTTAATTATTTTCTATCATTTCAAATAATCAGTTAGCCCTGTGTTGCCATTGAAAGGGTATGCCGGTGGATGAGAGGTTTAGCTCTGAATAAATAATAGGTTAATATGTTAATAGATAATCATTTGATCAAGATTGATCTGGGGCACATTTTGTTCTGTGATATAGAGAAATGTCCCAAAACTTTATGTGATAGACAATTAAAACAAAATCTTCACATATTAAACCCTTGAGAATAACTTCAAGACAGTTTTAAAAAAAATGGAATTACATCATCCGAATTATATCAAAAAATGAAATTACATCATCCGCAGACAAAAAGAAAGTAACCCCTTAGCTGTTTATCTTTTATGATAATAGTGAGGGTTGCGATAACAAGCTTTTTCAGGGATTGTGATGTTTTGAAGGGCTTGCGTTTCTCCATTAATTCCCAGTGGATATTGCACAAGCATTCTGGCCTCAATGTTCATCCCAAGATATAGTATACTCATTGTCTGATTGCAATTAAGTATGGACGGTCATTTTAAACGTGACCTGATATTAGTAAATTCGTGTGACTTGAATCAATTCTCACTTGTCTTGTTGATGCAGGAGAGGCCATAGTACATTATGCTGTATATACATAGATTTAAATGTTGTTTTTTTAGGATAGTTTCATTTGGAAATCATGTTAACAGTCCGTGTTTAACATCTCTTCAAGGTTCCTATTAGACTTTTAATCTGGATGGCTTTAGCTCAAGCATAGACCGTGGTAGGTCTATGGCTCAAGTAACCGTTATCATGGCATATTCATCTGCGGTAATAAACCCTAGCTGTCAGGTAGAGAGAGAGAGACAAGCGTTTATAATGTCTTGACCCTGAGTCTTACAAATCCAGCCAAGTTGCCTCTTAATCTTTTGTCTAAATAAAAATAGATTTTTTTTTTAACATCAAGCGCCTCTCCTTGCCATTTTCCACATCATGTCACTATGTTCATCAGGTAGAAATTATCGATGATTCTGAAGCAATGCTCCTGTTTTTATTTGAGCATTTCTCATGTCGGGAGTTGTCTGATGTACAGCCTTCAAGTATTCATGCTTGTTGAATCAGGTAACGCCCTACACTATATATTTTAAAAAAAGTGTTGGGTAAGATTTGCCCATCAGCATGAGGGTAATTGTGCGTGCTATCAACTATGGCGCCTTTTTATGCCCAATTTCCATAACGTTTTGCACGAACACGACCAAATTATTTAAAATTCCCCGTGTTGCGTCTATAATTACCCTGAAGTAGGTCGGACATGTAATTACTCTCATGATGGGGAATTTTTTCCCATCTTTTCTTCTTCTTCTTCTTTTCCTTCTTAGGAATAGTCTGCCTCCTTCAACCTTAAAGATTGTTGCATACGATGTGGGGTATTATGACGTCAGAAGCGAAGTTTTGGTTATTTTGGGTTTAGCCATAGAGGGCAGTTGCGAATTTGTTAGGGAAACTAAAACACGTTGTTGCAGTTAGTTATCGGCACTGAAAGTGCACCATTTTTTGGTATTTTGACACAAGCCCAATGTTGTGAGTATTTATTTACCTCTGTTTATTGAAATATGATGACTATTGTTGTGTTTGATGCTATTGGTGATAAAAATGAAGAAATGCAAATAGTGTAAAATTAAGTAAGAAAATTGTTACTCACGTACGTAAATTTACGTTGTGAGTGGGCATGCAGTTGTGTATAAAGTCATTGGGTTAGAATTAATTTCGGTAAACGTAAAGAAGACAGATATGAATATGACAGAAAAGTTGTATTATTATTAGTTTCAGTGGATTATGTTAGAAATGTATACAGCTAGTATAAGCTGTCCAATATTCAGTTGGTTTTTTGGATTAGTATGAAAGACAAAATGTTCTATAAAGAGTAGTTGACAGAAAGTAGGTCAGGTATGCCAGGGGTCATTATAGATTGGTAGTCTTTCGTGCAGCCTGTTATTAAGATTTAGGTTACCACTAAATGATATGTTGGGCCTATTATGCTTTGGTAATTAATAGTGAGTCAATAGGTTGTATCAAAGGAGCTATGAACTCATCTTAGCAGAAATATGTAAAGATATTTCCTACCCCTTACAAAAATGTACCATGTAAAAACCATGGTTTCAGTACCATGGTTACCATGGTTCTCATGGTGGATGGTAATTTGGACATAGAACCATGGTAACCATGGTACTGAAAACCATGGTAGCACCGAAGTATGATAACCATGGTTCAGTGTTAGCATGGTGTTCGGTACCATGGTTACCATGGTTCTTGGTACCATGACCATGGTTCTCGGTACCATGGTTACCATGGTTCTTGGTACCATGACCATGGTTCTCAGTACCATGGTTACCTTCGTTCTCGGTACCATGGTTACCATGGTTCTTGGTACCATGACCATGGTTCTCGGTACCATGGTTACCATGGTTCTCCCATACCTTTTGTTACCATTGTTTTCCTGTACCTAGGTTACCATGGTACTTGTACTATAATGTTACTGCACTTTCCCAGTCGCCTTTCCATTCTGCATGTAGCTTAATAAAAAGAAAGCATTGATTACATTGCATGATTGATTTTTTGTTATCATTTACAAATCTACTACCTAAATTAAGCACTTTCAGCACAGTATTCCTTATAATATCTGCCAGCCCTTGATCATTTTAC